TAGCATAAAAGCTGAAGGCAGAGGGTGAAGCCTTGCCAATCGCTCCTAAAAGTTTGACATTTTACCCTCTAAAGTCTGTATCATTCACCATATACTGTAGGTCAAGTTTGTTCAACTTCAATGAGCTAATACGGCAATGCTAAGAAATATTTGTCATGTGTGTTATTTTAGTTGATTGGATTTTTTTGCAGCTGGGATGAGGGTCAGCACCTCCAAGTCATGAGGCATTGGTTCTCTGCCATGAAACAGTGGAGTGCTCCCTTTGGGTGGGGTCTGAGTCTTTGACCCAAATGAAGGAGTTTAAGGATCTTAGGGGTGTTGTTCTCGAGTGAGGTTGACCATAAGATTGACAGGTGGATCGGTTCAGCACCACCAGTATTGCAGGTGTTCAACTGGAAGCTGAGCCTCTTCAAATCACCATGAAGCCTCACCTGTGGTCATGAGCTATGAGGGTTGACTGAAAGAATGAGATCAGGGATACAAGAGGCCGAATTGAGCTCAGCCTTAGAGATAGGGTGAGGAGCTCGGACAGTCTGAGTCACTACTCCTTCGCCTCAAATGGAGCCAGTTGAGGTGGTTTTGGCATCTGTTAAGGAGGTTTTCCGGGCACACCCAACAGGGAGGAGATCCTAAAAAATGTTTTCTGAGCAAAACAGTCGACTAAATAAATGGCTAATTTTCTCGTAGACTTATTCACAATCAGACTTCAACCAGTGTGAATGTGATTCAGTGGAATCAAAGCAACAATCTCGAGTGTTGAAATGCAAAAAAACTACAGTTCCTCGAGTGTCCACTTGAGTCTGGCTGCAAACGCCAATAAATCTGCATTATATTTAAAATGTTATTTTTTACAGCAGGAATAAAGATGTTTACAGCCTGGTTCATTAAACGAATTTGGTACTAATGGCACATTTCTTTATTGGTAAAAACTGCACAGGGATTTTTTTATCAGGAGGACTTCAGCGTCCTTGAGATTTCAGCTTTGACTCAAATAAAAATGAAAAAATGAAAACTCCATTCAAAGAAAAGTATTGAATTTTCGCCATAGCTCTTGTGCGCTAACATTCAATAACTCTTTTCATACTTGTTATTCATTCTTTTCTGATCCTTCTCGATGAAAACACTTTTCATTTGGAGTTTCTTTTTTTCAATCATATGGCTCAACAGTCTGACATTAAAAGTAATAAAGTGAATAAAATGGAGCTGAATTGGAGTGAACAGAGGTAGAGGTCACTCTCACCTCGCTAAATGTGCGGTGTGCATGATTGGTGCTGAATGACTGAAAATTCCTTTTAATGTGGTGCAGCATAATGACCTTGGAATATACAGCCTGTTTCACACACACACGCACACACGTTGAAGTGAGAAATTCATTCATTACAAAGGGAATGTAATGCTTAGCACACCAAACACATTCACCTCTCTTTCTGAAAGTCTTTCAGCTTGTCATATATTCTCAATCTTGTTTCTCCGCCTACTTTTCCTTTGACGCCATTTTTCTGTCATTTCTTTTAAGCACTGACCTCACTTGAATGTGTGTTTTTTCTTACACGTTTGTTTTTCAGGATCCAACCCGCGTGGTCAGCCCAGTCATCGACATCATCAACATGGACACATTCGCCTACGTGGCAGCGTCCGCTGATCTCCGAGGAGGTATGGAAATACTTTCCTCTGTCTTCACTCTCAGATAAAAATGGCTCTGAGGCACCTTCAGGGTCTTTTTTGATGACAGAGAAAAAAAACCTTGTGGCTCCTGGGATTATGAAAGAGTCCTTCATGATGAGTTCATGAACCTGTTTTCCCTGCAGCAATCCTCAAACACCATTTGAGAAATTGTTACTAGCCATGACCCTTATTGACCATTTCATATCTGTGGCACTAAATATTAATAAGATCTTCCATTTGTTCTATTGCTGGTTCCAGAACTTAATTTTTGAAAATGTGAGAGAGGCAACACATGAACACAAATCATGACAGAGACGACCAACTTACTAACAGATTCATTCACCAACAACTATCACAACGTGTCATCTCACGCTGTCAAAAGACTTAAGACTAAACAAACATGACGGTCAAGCTAAATGTTAGCTAGCTCTTAGCTGGTACATCCATTATGGTAGACATTTAGGTCCTTGTCAGTTGGATTCAATCAATCAATCAATTTTTATTTGTATAGCGTCAACTCATAACAAGTGTTATCTCGAGACACGAGACAAAAAGCAAGTAAAATACCTTACGCTTTGTCTGTTAACATTACAAAAGAGCAGGTAAAAAGACCTTACTCATTGTTATGTTACAAAGATCCGGCCTATCCATCATGAGCACTTTAGCAAAGCAGCAAAAGTTACAGTGGTAAGAAAAAACTGTCTTATTAATTGTTCTGGCAGGCCGTCAACCAACGATCTCGAGGAGCCTAAGAGAGCTCAAGAGCTCCCAGGAAAGTAGGTGGTTAGTGACTGAGATTTACAGATAGATACATGCAGTAATATGATGTACTGTATATGCACAGAGAGAGAGAGAGAGAGAGCATAACTAAGAGCTGGTCTACACCAGCACCAGCCCTAACTATAAGATTTATCAAAAAGGAAAGTTTTAAGTCTATTCTTAAAAATACAGACTGTGTCTGCCTCCCGGCCCGGCTGGAAGATGCGGTTCCAGAGGAGAGGAGCCGATAACTGAAGGCTTTACCCCCATAGTACACTTAGAGACTGTAGGTACCACCAGCAGGCCTGCACTCCAGGACTGTAGTGTTCTCGAGGGACAGTACGGCACTAGTAGCTCCTTAAGATAAGATGGTGCCTGGCCATTTAGAGCTTTGTAAGTGAGAAGAAGGATCTTGAATTCTATTCTAGACTGTATAGGGAGCCAGTGCAGAGAAGCCAGGACAGGAGTGATGTGGTCCCTTTTCCTGGTTCTGGTCAGTACACGAGCTGCAGCGTTCTGGACCAGTTGAAGAGGATTGTGGTTTTACACATTGTTACATTGTTGAATTTATGACAATCATAACTTTATGCTTCACGTTGTCATGGTAATGTTTGTTGAGCTTCCTGCTTCAGTCAGCTTGCTTCCTGATTGGCTATTGTTCCACTCCACGTGACAATTCACAGAGTCCGTCCTCGTTGTTCTCCCCACACAACAGGATTTCTGAACACATTTAATATTTACGATTCCAGTTCTGGGCACCCCCAATCGTCTTCTGAGCAGATCGGGGAGGTTAAAATCACTCCTAACACACCGTAGGAGAATCTGGCTAGATAATCAAGCCTTTGCTGACTTTGGTTGGAAGGGGGGAACCGAACCCGAAGTCACTTTGGTCTGGTTTATCTGAAGTGTGTACCCTGCTTAACATAACTTCTGCTAGATTGAAATAATGGCGTTTGTTCTATGACGTCCAACATTAGCTAACTTAGCTAGCAGAGCGGCCTGGTGTGTCTTTATTGTAAATGTATCTGTTGTGGGATGAATAAAGGTTTATCTTGTCTTTTAAAACATTAAATAAAATATATAACATTATTACATATCAAGGATGAACACATTTTTGCCCGGACTCCAGAATCTGCAGCCGTTTTGGTTGTATTAAAAATGTCTTAATGGTACTTATTCCCGCCCTTTATTGGACAACCAGTTGTGAAGACTTAAATCAAACGGGATGTAAATCTGTCTGAACAGTAGGGGAAAGAAAAACACATGCCAGAGCAAAGAAAAATAAAAGCCTGCAGATTAATTCTCAGGCTAAAAGGTATTTAAATGTCATCATGTTGCCTGTTTATGCTTCTCCATCTCAGACAGCTGAGAGTGTCCTCCATTTAAAAAATGCCAGTTTAGTCACAATTATCCGTGCATTAGTGAAATGGAGTCCTGAAATGTTGGAACCAGTAAAAGCTTTGAAAGTGGATCAGCCAGATTGATGATTCAGAGCAGAGATTCTGAGGAGGGCTTTTCCCTTTTTTAGCTCAACGAGATTCTGCAGTTACCGATAAGCCAAAAACCAAATGGACCCATAATGCATCAGAACAATGCACAGCTGTGTTCTCCCCTCGTGTCTGTCATATCTCACTTTCTCTGAAGACGGTTCTCATCTAAAAGCGTCATCGTCGCTCTCTCTTTCCATTAGCCCGTCTCGTCCCAATCTTCTCCTCTTGGTAACAGCAGGACGCCAATCAATGCTGATAATGGCCCTGTCCATGCCCCCCTCTCTCTCTCTCTGTCTCTCACACACACACACACACACACACACACACACACACACACAGAAATACGAGGGAATCGATGGTGATAGTCGGGCCGACAAAAAGACATTTTAATTATAGATGAAGCTGTCGTCATACCATAAAAAATACGGCTATAAGATGGACTTTCCTCGATCCAGACGCTCTCACACACACACACACACACACACACACACTTGGCCACATACACACACACACACCCACACAGATGTGATGATGGGATTGCCGTGGCAGCAACTCCTTGGCCTGCCTGACTGCCTTATCGAGAACACACAACCACTCAAGCTAACACACGAGTACTCGCTTCAAACACTGACACTGAGAATAACAATATTTAAATTAATTACAATATTTATTGTTCAAACATTAAAATGACTGTCACGTGTTTGAGTATTAAAACGACCTCATGAATACGTAAAGAGTCACGTTACAGACATTTTGATATTCAGACTTTACAGAAAAATTGTAGAATCTGGATTTTCAGCATGGGAAGTGTTCTGGTTTCTGTTTGTATTACATTTGTAGTCCGAGCTGTATTGACCAATAACACATCAGCAGGAAAAACAGCCAACAAACAGGCGAGATGTTATCGACACTGAGCACACAAATTAAAGAGTCCATATTCTGCTTTTTTTGGGGTTCGTATATTTAATCTATGTTCCTACTTTTGTACGTTCACAATAGCTCAAGTCTGAAAAAAGTGTCTGTTTTCATGAACTGCTCCTCCTGGCTCCCTCTCCGCTCTGAGTCCGTCAGCTACACTCTGTTGAGCCCACACTGTTAGACCCCACGTGGGCCAAGTCTGCTCTGATTGGTCTGCCGATCCGCTCTGTCGTTATTGGTCAGTTGCTCAGCACGGTTCTCGGAAATGTCCCGCCTCTTTTACCATATTTGGAATGCAGCCACTGGCTCCGTCCGAGGGGAGCATAAACATTAGCACCTTAGCACTACTGTGCTACCGCAGGCTACGGCATATCGTGGGCGTGCTACAGAAGTTAACGGGACTGCAACATGAGCTGCTGGGCTTACCACAACGAGCCAATGGGCTTAGATCAGTTATCTCACACTGACAATGACGTCGGACTGACAATTTTTTATCGAGGGGGGCTAGAACCGAGTGTTACATGCGGCTAATGCTACAGCTAACAGGAGGACGTAGGAGAAGCCGTGTTTCCGCGGACTTTGAATTTTTGCACATAGATGTGCCTAAACATGCACAGGACACTTGGAAAACACACTAAAGAGCAGATAAAACCAGAAAAAGCAGAATATGGGACCTTTAAAGCGTTAAGATTCCCTGACAACCTGAAATGCATCAGAAATAATCGCTCCAACCTCCATTCAACAAACAAACATTTTCAAAGTTGTTTTCTTCTCCTCTTCAGAACAGGCTCGACTTCTTACTTTTTACAAATCTAAATAAGAAAGGGGGGAAAAAATGTCAGGCTAAAGTGCGCCAAAGTGAAGCCTCTGTGTAACTTATTATTTATGTTTGAACTGAGACTCACGAGAAACAAATGAACAGAAGTTACTCTACAATTCACTTAGCAGACGCTTTTATCCAAAGCAACGTATATCAGAGAGTAAGAACAACACAAGCAAGGATCTAGAAAAAAGGGAACAATGTCAGTAAGAGCAAACGATCAGCTTTGAGTCTGATTGGACACACAGGTGCTGACAGGAAGTGACCAGAGGCAAAGCACAACATTGAGGGCAGTTCTTGAGAGCTCTAATCAGTATAGAAACCATCTTATAAGTCGTCGTTATCAAACAAAAACCATCGTCATCATCATCATCATCAATAATATGGAGACCATCATCATTAAGTTAGTAGGTATTCATGAAAGAGCTGGGTCTTTAGCTTTTTCTTAAAGGTGCAGAGGGACTCTGCAGATACAATGGAGTTTGGGGGATGTAATAGAACCAAAAGATGTTAGTTCATGGTTTAGACTTAGATAACATCATTCATGGCACAGATACAGGAAGTCTTGGAGCTATGCTAGGACAATAAATTAATATCATAAATAAAAAATACATGTTGTTATTTGAAAAGCTGAGGGGTGTTTACAGTGTTGTCTTTAGAGTACTGTGTATATGTTGTGCTTTTCTTCCTGCAGGTTTTGATTGGAGTCTCCATTTCAAGTGGGAGCAGCTTTCACCTGAAGAGAGAGCCCTCCGAACCGACCCGACCCAGCCAATCAAGTAACCCGCTGACACACACACACACACACACACACTCACACTCATAACTACACACAATCATCCAGCCTAACAGCAATGCAAACATATTAACACAACAAGAAACAGAGGGTGTAACTACTCTGACCTGGAGGCTCATTGAGAGAGTGCAGAGAAGCAGAACGACTCAGAGGAGGGAGGTTAAAGAAGGAAGGGGATAGGATGTAACGCAGGAGTGAGCGACAAGAGTTCAGGAGATAAACGCTAATACCTCTGTCAATAAACAGGACTATTGTGAGACGAAGGAAACCGACAGAATCAGTTTTTCAATTCATAAAAAAGTTCAGTGAATAAAAACATCTCTGAGAAGTTGTCTGAAAAGTTTGACGTCGGTGTTTAACCCCGATCTTCACTTCCCCGTTTCCACGCTCGAGTGGAGAGTTTTAATTGCTGCTAAATGTGGTCTGAGTGTTTGTGTGTGTGTGTGTGTGTGTGTGTGTGTGTGTGTGTGTGTGTGTGTGTGTGTGAGTGTGTGTGTGAGTGTGAGTGTGTGTGTGTGTGTGTGTGTGTGTGTGTGTGTGTGTGTGTGTGTGTGTGTATGTGTGATCTAGACTGTGTAGACAATCCATTTTCAGCAGTCTCTAGGAGGAGGATTTATTTCTGTCTGTATTCCTGTAAATGATTTTCATTAGATCTTTATATTCAAACATTCATCACACTTTTGTTTACAACTTATTTCAGCTGTCAAAATGGCCGACCTGTGCTAAAGTTTTGTTCTAGGCTGGGGGCGGAGTCCATGGGTGGAGATACCGGGGGGGAGGGGAGGGGATTTTTTTTTTTTTACCAGAATCCCACTGTGACATCACAAAGAGAGCACATTTGAAACGGAGCATTTTTCTCTGTTGTAAGACTTATGCAGACCACAAACAAAGGACTGGGGATGGGCAATTGGCCTAGTGGTTGATGTGAGTGCCCCGTGTGCATTGGTTATAATCCTCCAGACAGGTGGCCTGGGTTCGAGTCCTTTACCGCATGTTGATCCCCTCCCTCTCTCTCGCTCTCTCTCCGGTTTCTGACTCTGTCCTATCTCCATCGTTAATGCATGAAAAGACAAAACAGTAAATACTGGAGTGATTGCTGCTAAATGTGGGCGGATCGTTACAGAGACCAAAAGTTGGACCGTGTTTGTTTGACCGTGTTTGATTCTGCAGCGTATTGCTCGCCTGGGGCTGCAGTGAAAGTTTACACAAAAAAATCAAATCATCAATGCCCCGACAAATCGTTTGCTTGAGAGACATGAACAGACATCCAAAAGGGGAGAGCAGAGGAGCCTCAGCCTCTCTCACACACACACACACACACACACACACACACACACACACACACACACACACACACACACACACACACACACACGCTGAGTTATAAATAATAATCTCTGGCGCTGTTCCTCCTTCATAAGTTAGATCGGTGGCAGGAGCCCAGATTTACTGCTGAGCCAACTCGTGAATGTCTGACTTGGTGCATGTTTTTTTAGTGGAGGCAGAGTGTTAAACACTTACAGATGGACGGGTGGTGGTGTGTGTGTGTGTGTGTGTGTGTGTGTGTGTGTGTGTGTGTGTGTGTGTGTGTGTGTGTGTGTGTGTGTGTGTGTGTGTGTGTGTGTGTATGTGTGTGTGTGTTCTGGACAGACATGCAGTTATGGGCTGGTTTGTTATGACGGTCTGTGTTGACTTGTGTGTCAGCAGCGTGCTTCTTCTGTCTGAGCATCATCAACCTGCGGAGGCCGGCCTGAGTCAGCCTGCTCCTCTGGGAACACACATTTTATAACTATACTTGTGAGGACATAACACATAAAACCAACTTTAACCTTCACAGCAAGAAATGCAACTACAGCTGTCAAATAAAAGTGTTTTTAAGTCGAGTCGTTTTAATCAAGACAAATCTTTTCAGTTTTTAATTTCAGAATCAAATAAACTTTATTAATCCCTGAGGGGGGGATTAGTCGTTCCAGTTTCTCTTTCAGAATATGAGCATGAAGAAAAAAAGACAACTAAAGAGAAGAAGAAATGTGAATTATGTACTGTCTGCAAGTGTATCATCATTGCATCATTAATTCCTGTACGCACACAGAACTGATCCACAGTAAGGATGGCTCTAAAGTTTACCAAACAAGTCTCAAAATGACCCTTCAGTGTTCTTCACTGAACTATCATTGGAGGTCTAATCGCCCCAAAAGAAACCTGACCCCTTGATTGAAAATACTTTAAAGTCTTTATATCTGAAAATAACTCTGTGAGTCATGACTGTCTACAATGGGTGTAACACCTGAGTCCCACTGTCTGTGATGTTTTCAGAGTTTTCAGAGTCCTATCTTCACTTTGTTTACATCGCCCGGACGGCCGGCTGACTCCTCCCCTCGTGTATAAAAGTTGTTTAATTGAGGGACTAGAGAAAAGAAGAATAACATACTGTACTCACTGCTTAACTGTGTTTCTAGATCACGCTCATTTCAGGTAAATTTACATGCAGTGTGAAGATACCAGCATAATAAAGATCACCAGCATTAGCATGCTAACACAACAATGCAGCGCGAGTTGTTTTGGTTTCATGCTGGTGCTCAAGGGCGACATCTGCTGGATCAAAAAATCACATATAAAGCCTTTAACAGTAAAGAAGGAAGTACTGCTTTAATAATCAGAGCTTCTTCAACTCTCTCTAAAGCTAGAGCAACTTGATGTAGACCCAACTTCTGAGTCGTGCAACTCATTTTGAAGTCAGGCCAGGTCGTGTGTCGTTAGTCGTGCAGCGTACACTGACGCACAACGCCTTGATCACGGACCAATCAGCTGTTCCTCCTGACTGGTCGGGTTATTCTCTGGCTTGTTTCATATTTTGGTCGAACGACTGAACGCAACACAAGTTCTGGCCTTCTCATTCATCACTCTGTCCTGATCATGATTCAGTGGGCTTCTGTTTGTGTGTGAGTGTGTGTGAGTGTGTGTGAGTGTGAGTGTGTGTGAGTGTGTGTGAGTGTGTGTGAGTGTGTGTATGGCAACAAACAAACAAGATTTTGTACTGTAAGAAACCTATGCTACACAACAAATCTTTAACTTTAAGATTTGATACTTTATCGGGGAAATTCAAACACAAATGTGGTGAGAAAGAGACAGGAAAACAGTGAAGTTAATATATTAAGAACTGAACAGGAAACCTCCCACACACATCAGTCCTCGTTTGACCGCCCCCCCCCTCTCTCTCTTTCTCTCTGATGCTGACAGAACTCCCATCATCGCAGGCGGGCTCTTCGTGATTGACAGGTCCTGGTTCAATCACCTCGGTAAATACGACACAGCCATGGACATCTGGGGCGGAGAAAACTTTGGTGAGTCATTTTGCTGTTGGTTCTCTCAGACTGTCTGAAAGTGTTTGTATTCATCAGAGAGGAGTCGTTTGTTTCATCGCATTTGAACCAGTGAGGATTCAGGAGTCTGTGGGGGCCCTGGGAAAAAAACATTTACAGTGAACCCTCCAACCTTTATCTTATAAATAATGGTGACCATTATCAGCATTTGGAGGCGGGGCTTGATCGTGCTCTTTAGCTGGTTATGATCCTTCATTTTTATTTGGTGACTTTGACAGATTTTGTTTTTTTCAGGGATAATGTATTCAACACTCAGCAGAGCATTGAGAGTGACTGTTGTCATATGGGGACCTCTAAGGGGGGTTCCTACTGTCATTGCAGAATGTGCACATTTTAAGCCACTGCTATGGTGTATAGCAGGCTTATTCCACTGGCGGCCAAGCGGCCAAAAAAACAACAACAAATAAACAGAGGGGAGAAACGTTTTGAATGACCACAGTACAGTTTTAAAAACAGCACAGCGCTCCCGTTAAATAGAACATCTTTGGTCCTGCACTCGCAGCCAATCGCAAGCTTGTGTTGTTGATGGAAAAAACTTAATTCTCGTAGTGTACTGCTGTGGAGGCGGGCTTGCTTGTCTGGCCCCCCAGGTCCTTAGCTTTCTGAAAATGTGGCCCCCTGAACTATAGAGTTGAATAACCCTGGTGTGTAGTTTGTCCTTACTGACCTGGGGTCCTAAGCTTTGCCTGATGACGAGCGCCGCCTTCCTTACATCATAACGCTGTTTCAGAAACAGAAAGAATTTAATCAAGAATTTAGAGGTTCAAAACATAATTCAGTGGATCCTCTCAGACAGGATCCAAAGAAAGAACTCAAAAAACACGAGTCACATGAAGGCGTTTTGAAGCTGCTGAGAGGAACATTAAGGTCGTTTAATTTCAGCTGAATGAAGGTGATCCTTTCATTCAGTTAAAAAAAAGTCTGACATCCATCCTGAGGAAACATCTGGCTCCCCTGCTGCTACCTGCCTGCAGGAACATCGTGTGTGTGTGTGTGTGTGTGTGTGTGTGTGTGTGTGTGTGTGTGTGTGTGTGTGTCTGTGTGTGTGTGTGTGTGTGTGTGTGTGTGTGTGTGCGCGCGCAGCACACAACACACACACACACACACACACACACACACACACACACACACACACACACACACACACACACTCTCATTTGCCGTCTGTCAGGTTTGCGTCAGTCTCGCAGGCTCCGTGTCAGTTATCTCAGCATCTCACCCCGTCACTCCTGCTCTCTCCTTTTTGTTCTCTGGTGTTTCATCTTCACCTCATCAGAGCCGGTCCACGCTCTTCCTTTTTCACTCCCCTCGCTCCCCTCTCTCTCCTTCTCTCCCATTCTCACTCTTCCTCGCTAACGCCGAGACACTTTGTAAAAAGTTTTCAACATCTCGATCATTTGGGGAAACTCGTACTTGGAGCTCGCAGACAGACAGAGACTCTGACAGTTAACGCGAGAAGAACAGAGAGCGAGCTCGGAGTAACACACACACACACACACACACACACACACACACACACACACACACACACACACACACACCGAATCAGACAATAGGTTCTGAGTCCATCGGGGGAATCATCAAATATTCAGAGAGTTTTGGCCCACTTAGAGAGAAAACTAACGAGGAGACAGAAGGAAACAGACATGAGCTTCTCATAAATAACAAACCTGGAACACAGAGACAGCAGGTACAGTCTGCTCCTTCTTTATCAATCTTTGAATATAATATAAAGACTTTGATGTGTGCTAAGTCTATGAGATGTAACTTTGAGATACAACAATTTGTAATAAGTATTAACAAGATGTATGTGAATGCCTTTTTCTTTCTATTTATTTTTTATTATATACATATATATGTATCTCATTTTTATTTTTTTTCTCTCTTGTTTGTTTTTGTTTTCATTTTTTCTGTCTTGCTTTGAAATTTGTGAATTTGTGGTGTGTGTTACAATCGAAAAAGACGATAAAAAAAAGCATAATCAACTTTTTCTTTCTATTTATTTTTTATTATATACATATATATATATGCTCATTTTTATTTTTTTTCTCTCTTGTTTGTTTTTGTTTTCATTTTTTCTGTCTTGCTTTGAAATTTGTGAATTTGTGGTGTGTGTTACAATCGAAAAAGACGATAAAAAAAAGCATAATCAAAAAAAAAAGAATATAATGACTTTGTGGGGCATCTCAAAGAAATCACATTGGAGGGCTCGACATCACAACTGGACTCATGATTGACATTGAATTTACTCAAGGCCAGCTGATAGCACGTTCCTCTGTCTTGATCCGGCTGGTTTATAATTGTTTTTTTAAATGTTAAAAGAGGGGCGCTGCTCGCTCTGTTAGCGTGGCTAGGTATCCCAGGATGCTTTGAGCAGCAGGTGGACAGTTATAATGCACAATGAATTTTGTCAAACTTTGATTTACATCTCAGAAATGACCAAAAGCTGCAAAATAATCTGTTTTTGAACGAGGTTTTCTAATCGTTCTAAACGTTTATTTTCACTCAGATGCTTCATGAAACATTACATTTTGATATCACTTCTGAATTTGTAATATTTAAACTCAGGTGTCCAGGGGCTTTAATGTCAACCCCTGCATTGAAACTCAGGCAGCTGAGGGGTTACATCTGTTGTTGACGTGATGTCAGGGTTGTGTTATGTCGAGATGTTTGTCATTTTTAGGACAAAGGACCAGAAATATATACAGTATCAGGGGGAAGAAAAAAAACAATGTTCCCTCTCACTTGTCAGCTTTATAAAAGAAATGTGATTTTGTGAGACGTTGCGGTGAAAAGGAACATCAGAAATGTTCTGTGTTTTTTTGTTTGTTTGTGGGAAGCTGTTTTCTCAGCTTGAAATGATTTTGGCAGCAAAAGAACATTTAGTTGGTAGAGAGCTGTCTGCTGTATGGAAGCTAAACATCCATATGCATTACATTAACTCTGCAGGGGGGGAGGTGGGGAATAACATTTTTAGTATTCCGCAAGGGGAAATTCAGGTTTTAGACTCCGTTATTGAGAGGGTTTAAGTGCCTCTGCAACACTTGATGACCTGGCACCTCTCTATCAACCAAACCAATGTCCATACTTTCAGCCCAAGTCCCTACAGACTGCGCTACTGCCGCATCTGTTCTTTGTTCTTTTGGGGAAACTTTGCATCTTGCTGTCTTGTCCAGGAATCCCAATGAACTGCACTGTTGTGTCTCAATGGGAGTAATCCTGGTATAATGGTTTGTAATATGTGTGTGTGTGTGTTGTGTGATGCAGAGATCTCGTTCCGGGTGTGGCAGTGCGGAGGCAGTCTGGAGATCCTGCCCTGCAGCAGAGTGGGTCACGTCTTCAGGAAGAAACATCCGTACATCTTCCCCGAGGGCAACGCCAACACATACATCAAGTGAGTCATTCGAGAAGGTTTTTTTTTTAAATTGTTTTCAATGTCAGAATTCAGATTTGATACCAAAGGGGCTGAATCTAAAAACCTGATTCAGATCCCAGTCGACCCTCAGGAGAAGTCAGAACTCCAGCAGTGCGTTTAGTACACATGACACATTTAGCAGCTTGGTTTGATTTGAGGCGTTCCTCAGGGTCATTTGTGGTCTTCATGCAGGAAGTGCTGCTCGAGCTTTGGCCTCTTCTGACTCGTTGTTGCCAAACATCTAAAAAAATATTAACTCATTTCAAAGCAACTTTTTCAAACAATTTTTTTGCGACTCTAATGTTTCTCTTTCGACATCCTCTTGGTTGTTCTTAAGATCTGTCCTTAAAGTGTGTCCGAGCTCGGACCGGTATTTAAGGAAGTTCACACACTTAATGATTTTTTAAAAAGTAATTCAAGTTTATATATCGTTGTTAACAGCAATAACATCAACAGCTGTTCTTTAGAGTTCTAGTCAGCATCAAAACATCCTAAATATCAATAACATTAAGTGTGTAGGTTCATGAAAGAGCTGAGTCTTTAGCTTTTACTTAAAGGAGCAAAGGGTCTCTGGGTGGGGTCAGGTAGTTCATTCCACCACCAGGGGGCGACAGAGGAGAAGAGTTTAGCTAGAGACGCCTCCCATTGGCAGAGTGTAGCGGGCATTTGGTACTTTGTTTCTGTTCTTAATTCAGCTAAGGTGGCTACACATGAAACATTTTAAAGTCAGGGTTGTCATTTCCTCCAGATCCACTTTTTCAGATTTTGGTTGAAATTGTCTTTAGGTCCTGACAGAAATTAAAAACTTGTGTTCTATGAAAAAAAGGAACAAAGAAAATCCTCATCTCTATCAGTTTGTAAGTCTGTAAAAAACTTCAACCAATGTCTCCCACGAGGTACCAATCTGATGAACCAATCAGACGCCTCCCTGTCTCCCTGCTCGCTCTCTACCTCATGCGTGCACTAGCTCACACTCAGGATGGGCTGAGGTCCGCTTCTGGACCAATGGCGCTTGTGCATGTAAGTTAAGGGGCGTGGCTTATGAGGGAGCGCAGACCGAGCACTGAGGAATGCTACTTTCAAAATCTTGCTAGTTTTCGAAAATCACCAACCTGCCTTTAATGAAAGCACACAACAAAAGTTTAAAGGTGAATATTTGGTAGAGAATGTTTTATAAATATGTGTAAAAACTCTGACATTAAGAGGGAACTGGTAGATGTTTTTCTGTCATGGATTATGTCGGCCTTTATTTGCTCTGTCGTTCAATCTCTGCTCCTTTATTGCGCTATGACGAGAGTCTCTATGTAAGCTGGAGTATATAATTATTATGTCTCTGGGTTCTCTTTTTTAAGTACACACATTTTAGACAAACAAGCTCTATTCACGACTCAAATGAACTCTTGTACTTTTCCATCTGAACAAATTACTTCTCGTCTGTCAGAAAATCATTCAGTGCTCACGTAAACACGCCAACCTTTCAAACTAAAAGTCCCACTAACCCTGCTGCAGACCGACTCGCTGTGTGACAGACATTACACCGGAGGGAAACAGACGATTGCAGCGTCGGCACTCTGAGCTTGTGTGTCGCAGCCGCTGAACACTGTTCACATCATTGTTAAAGTGGATTTACAGCTGCCTGGGAGCCTTTGAGCTGCCACTACAATATTATCCTATTAGCATAAGCTGTATTCTGTTCTCGGCCCCTTTTAGTTCAAACAGCAAGATGTTTACAGGCAGTCCAATAATCCATTAACAGCTACTAATGTGCTCAGCCTGCATGTGAATGGATGTGGTATAAATAGATTAATCAGGCCCACAATGAGGACGCTGGTTCCATTCACATTGGAAAATATTCTTTTACACTTTTAATATTCTCACATTGTGTATTCATTATGGTGTCATAAAGAATAAGAGGGAACACAGAGAGGCAGTGCTTGTTTATTTGATACATTTGAGGTCACATAAAAATGAAAAGTTTAATTTAATAGTGAAAACTTGACAACTCAAATTGTCCTGTAGTTGGTCACCATTCACTAAAACACTGATATCACCGCCTCTCACTCTGATTCCTCACACTGTAGCATCCCTCTGAAAGAGAGTTGGACTCTTGAACTGATGATTTTATGGTTAATCTTAAAGCACAAAAAACACAAAACCACATAAACAACCCAAACTAAAGTGAGACCCCGATGCCTCTTTGTCACCGTTCCTGTTTGCTGTTTACATTTCCTCTGTCATTTTTCTATCCATGAAACGTTTGTTTTTTCTCTTTGTCTTCAGAACCTTCATTAAACCCTGAAGTTCCTTTTTCAAAATAAAAGCTAGTCTTTATCCAAACAGGAAGCGAAGTAAGCCATAACTTGAAACAGTACAAAATAAAAGCATAACAAACTTACCTTCTCAGTCTTAACTGGGTTACTTAAATTCATTCTACTTAACTTACCCCTAAGTTCCACTAGATGCATTTTAACTCGTCCTCTGTTTCACTTCAGTCAATCAATGTGTGTCCCTCCACGGGTGCCGCTGAGCTACATCTCAGCTCCGTCAGACCGGAGCCCCATGCCGGAGCACGGTGCATCAATTTGCTACAGAGAAGATCAAGCGGGACAGGAAGTCAGACACAGAAACAACATTAGAGCATCATGGGCGGGGCTAGTGCTGGGAGAAGAGAGCCTATGTACGAGGTTTCAACAGTCTATGTAGAGGCTTTATTAGGGAACTAAAATGTGATTTACAAAACATAAAAATACTTCTATCAGATCTGCTGTCCAATCACTGCCCTGGAACACAAGAGACACACACAAGACGACAACGGTGACCTCAGGCAGGGAGCCACAACAACTTTACACAATCACACAAGAATTAGACTCCCCGTTCATGTGGGTCACAGACATAAATAATGTTGATTTTATTGTGTTTTTGTAAGGTGAAATAATCTCATCATCCTCATGTGTAGACGACCTTGTTTTCAGTAGTATTTCCTGTTCAAAGAAAATGTTTGGTTTGTATACCCACGAGTCTCACTAATCCCAATAAACCCGGAGGAGGAAAGAAAAACAACAAAACACTGCATATTGTCAGGAGGGGGGGGAAACATTGTGAACGACAAACTGAAGCAGACTCAAGATAAAGAGAGTTCATGGGAAACTAAATTGCAGCAGTTCATCACAAAACAACTCCTGGGATGCTCCGAACGCCTCCGACTGGAGATTTATCCGACGGATTATTCCTTTTAACCGATCGGTAAATCACGAGCTGCAGCATGTGAGCGGGGCTTTTAACACTGCTGCTGGGGTTTGAAAGTTTTGGTTCCCTTTGAGGAAAGGTCTGACAAGTTTGCTAAACATATTGTTAAGTGTCAACCAGCTCATCCAAACCGTCGCTCAGAACCTTTTTTTTCGATTAGGCTGTTTTGTTGCTCATTTTCGCTATCCCCTATTGGCCGTTACCGAGGCAACAGCTGTTTCTGAGCAGAAGATGATAGGCTTTTATTCGCGTCACAATGGCCTGATGTTTGTGATCAGTGCAGATCTCCACAAACAAAGCGGCCGTTGTCTGCTCGCGTGTCGCTCCGCTGGCTAATTAGCTGGAGGCTCGATGCCGCCGGCCTGCTTCATGAATGCCAAATAAGAAAAAAAAAGAGAGAGATGCTAATAATTAGATTACAGAAATGATGCTGTTTCCTCCCTTACCCATGGCGGCCTGCTGCTGTGACCTTGTGTGTGTGTATATCGTGTGTGTGTGTGTGATTTTTAATTGTGAGCCTTTGTGCGACTCGTATTTATGTTTATACGCCCACAAGCATCTCATATCCTCCTCGTCTTCCCCTTTCATTAAACTGCCAGAGCCCGTGTGTGTCGTGTCTGTAATGAAGGGTTTCTGTCATTTCACTGCGATAGTTCACAGCTCAGAGAATCACCGCTAATAGCTCGTTACTACAGAGAGAGAGAGAGAGGGAGAGAGAGAGAGGGAGAGAGAGAGGGAACGAGTAAACGGGGAAGAGAGACGGAGAAATTTGCTTTTCTGAATAAAGCTCACACTCAGTTAAACACACGACTGAACTGTATGTACAGCAACAGAGAGAGGACTTACACCAATCTTATATAATAAGCACATAACCAGCCAGAAATATGAAGCATTTTCTTTTGCATTGATTAAAATCTGATGATTTAAGAGAATTATTGTTTCATGAAGTAAAATCTGAAATGTTGGGGCGGACAGATGTGCAGGAACTGGAATGGCTGTTTAAGTTTGATGTGTTTAAACTTTCTAATTTTGTTTCAAAAGTTTGGAAAAGAAGACTTTTTTGACTTCTTGCTTTTTCTTTTTGTTTCTTGAGAATGAATATAGTTTACCTCGTGCACTCTGATCCGGGAACGTTTTTAATTTATGGTGTCATGTAAGCCCATGCAGGCTGGGCATATGGATGGATGTATGACACAATAATAAAATAAAAAAATAAAAAAAAGTTTAAAGGCAGGGTTGGTAGTTTTCTCCAGATCCACTTTTTCAGATTTTGGTGTAAATTGTCTTTAAGTCCTGACAGAAATTAATAACTCATGTTCTCTGAAAAAGGAACAAAGAAAATCCATCATCTGTATCAGTTTGTAAGTCTGTAAAAACTTTGACCAATGTCTGCCACGAGGTACCAATCTGATGAACCAATCAGACGCCTCCCTGTCTCCCTGCTCGTTCCCTGCCACATGCGTGCTCTAGCCCACACTCAAAGCATGAGCTGAGGTCCGCTTCTGGAGCAACGGGGCTCGTGTATGTAAGTGAGGGGGCGTGGCTTTTGAGGGAACGCAGATGGAGCACTGAGGGAATGCTACTTTCAAAATCATGCTAGTTTTAGAAAATCACCAACCCCGCTTTTCAAACAAGAGGAGGAAAAAGGATAAAAATGATAACATAATGACATCACATAAATCCAGTCTATAAAGGTGAGTTTATCTGTCTCTCTCTCTGTGAGGTGAGGAAGGACAATGTGTGTTGCTATGACTGCAGCCACTCAGAGATCCAGGAGGAAGTCTGCTCTGGGTGTGAAAAACAGAGTCTGAATGCATTTTTGATTCAATGTGTTTTGGATCGGCCAGAGCCCACCTGGAGATGATTTATGTTTCTGCAGAAACAGAGCCGATGTGTTTAAAGGCAGCAGGTGAACGCAGGGGGGGGGGGGGGCTGCTGATGTCTGTTTTTAACTCCCTCTTCCTGCAGCCTCACACTGCTCTAACAGCATACTGAAGCCTCAAATCACATCCACACACTCACATTTTAAGAGTGCATTATTGGCTCAGGAAGGGGAAGTAGGGCTTGTTGCCTCGGGCTGTTATGAGCAGGGGTGGAGACCTGCTGACCCGGACTGGGGATGTTGTTGGGGGGGCGGAGTTTCAGACCAGGTTTAAAGGCTTTATCTGTGATTTTTCACACTTAAATGTAATATAAATCAAGTCTATCCTCTGAAAATAACTCTGTGAGTCATGACTGTCTACAATGGGTGTAACACCCGAGTCCCACTGTCTGTGATGTTTTCAGAGTTTTCAGAGTCCTATCTTCACTTTGTTTACATCGCCCGGACGGCCGGCTGACTCCTCCCCTCGTGTATAAAAGTTGTTTAATTGAGGGACTAGAGAAAAGAAGAATAACATACTGTACTCACTGCTTAACTGTGTTTCTAGATCACGCTCATTTCAGGTAAATTTACATGCAGTGTGAAGATACCAGCATAATAAAGATCGCTAGCATTAGCATGCTAACACAACAATGCAGCGCGAGTTGTTTTGGTTTCATGCTGGTGCTCAAGGGCGACATCTGCTGGATCAAAAAATCACATATAAAACCTTTAACATAAAGCAAATGTAAAAGGAGGATGTGAAGTAAATTAACATGTCATGTGTTTACAGGAACACGCGTCGAACAGCTGAGGTGTGGATGGACGACTTCCGCCTTTTTTACTACTCCGCTCGTCCTGCGGCGAGGGGAAAATCCTACGGCGAGTAAGTACACACAGAATGACACATGCTTGGTATTTACAGACAGCTCCCAGACAACGGATATGCCACCCACATCTGCAGTCTCCTCAGCCTCTGTTGTCTTTATTTACGTCTGTTCCTCCAGCTGGAAACGCTGAGCCGAGCGATCTGAGATGTGTAGATAGGATTAGGAACGGTAACGTCGTCTTCTTTTGTCACGGCCGAAAACAGACACAGAAAACTGTCAACAGGGATTTAAAAATCCAATCTCAACATTTCTGTTGTGTTCGCCCCATGTTGACTGTTTATCCACTCGTAATTCATCAATAAGAAGGTTCAACTTTTGACAGGTGTGTCGACCCTTAACGGGAGGTGAGTCCCCACAATGTTGGTAAAACAAGACTTCAGTAAACACGCCAGGAGCGGATGTCAAGCCCCTCGCTGTGTTTGAATGTCAGTGTTAATCTGTCAGACCACACTGACATTTTTACATCACACACCTCCATTATTCGTCCTGATTGTATCTTCTCGCTTTCTGATAGACTGTTCATTTGGCTTCTGTTTTCTCTTTATCTGACCGTCTGCCTCTTGTGTGTTTGTGTGTTTGTGTGTTTGTGTGTTTGTGTGTTTGTGTCACCAGTGTCCGTGGCAGAGTGGAACTCCGCAAGAAGCTCAAGTGCAAATCCTTTAAGTGGTACCTGGACAACGTCTACCCAGAGCTCAAGTAAGAGTCTGCATCGGTGTTTAGGAGAAGTCGTTACAGATGCATACAGGCTAATTAAAACACACTCCTTACACAACAGACAATTACACACAAACGCACACATACACACACACACACACGCATGCACACACACACTAAAAATCAGAGGGTGTCTTTGAGAGAGAGAGAGAGAGAGAGAGAAGAGAAGCAACACAAAGAAGAGTTAATGACACTGCTTGCATATCAGTGGTTGTGTGTGTGTGTGTGTGTGTGTGTGTGTGTGTGTGTGTGTGTGTGTGTGTGTGTGTGTGTGTGTGTGTGTGTGTGTGTGTGTGTGTGTGTGTGTGTGTGTGTGTGTGTGTGTGTGTGTGTGTGTGTGTGTGTGTGTGTGTGGAGTCAGAGGGATACTGCACTGACTTAATATTACGGTTAAAGACATCACAAGTAAATGTGGTATTACTTTTTTGTATTTTTAAAATGACCAGAAACACAAGGTCCCACTTGTGAAGTATATAACGATAGTCCCCTACTAGTATGGTAAACGTGTATGTGTGTGTGTGTGTGTGTGTGTGTGTGTGTGTGTGTGTGTTTTAAGAATACCACCACATCAGCAACATTTTTTTTAAACCTCACATGTTGATGCAAAATCTCATTAGGATGTAACAATACAACAGAAGCATAGCAGAGTATCGTCATGGTTACAAGGATAACCTTCAGGAGCTAACGTAGCTAATGTGCGTTTAAGTAATAAAAATAAACAGCTTTTTTACAAAACACTGCACACCTGTGTGACACTTTGTGTAGTCTGAATAATCTGTCTATATTTATGTGCATGAACCTGGAACCGCTAACACACACACACACACACACACACGTGCACACGTAGCCCAAGTGTTGTTCTGAAAACATCTGCTCAGATTGGCTAAGCTCCCAGGGGCCTTGGTTTCTGACTTCACTATATAAACACACACACAACACACACACACACTCACCTGTAAACACACAAAAACACTTTATGACATGGAAAGCCCTGATGGTGATGTATCGTATAGATACACACATTTTCATCTTAAATGCATAAAAATAAGAAATGACAAATACCTTTAAGACGTGTATACACTCTCATATTAACATTTCCTCCATCTTCCACATACTTTACACACACACACTCACGTACACACACTTAAATACCCATTTATCCACTGTAGGCCTGTGTTAATCCCCCAGAATGGAATTAACGAGCTTGCTCTCAAGGGGGGCGGACAGACCTGACCCTTAGAACGCAGAATAACCTTTAACGGGTTATTAAAACAGAGAGAGAGCGAGAGAGAGATAGCAGATTAAATTAACGCTACAGGGCTTAAGCCCGGGTTTATAGCGCGGCCGAGAATTGAACAGGAACGACTGGAGAAAAGTTTATCAAAGAGGGAGATTGGGGATGGAAACTTTCTGGAGTAATGAGTTTAGAGAACGGTGGCCTCGAGCGGTTTGTGTTTAAGGTGCAGCGCGGCATTTAAAAAAAAAAAACAGATAAATCACTGTCAGAGTCACGGCGATATCTTGATGCAGTTAATGAGACTGTTGTGGAGATGATTGGGGTCTTCTGTCTCATCTCGTGGAGGCTGTTAGTTTATCTGAAACATGTAGAAGATATATCCTTTTTCTTCAACGTTAGGTAAAGGTGGCTTTTGAGATTTAGAGGGTCAGACTGAGAAAAGTAAAAAATGTACCTTTTCTCACTGAGCTCGATGATTGCAGTAATAATCTCTCCGGTATAATGAACCCCCTCATTGTATGAACTTACATGTTTTCTCGCTCAGGGTCCCGGACGACTCTGACTCTCAGTCCGGGGTGATCAAACAGCGGCAGAACTGTCTGGAGTCTCGCAGGGTGGAGGGCCAGGAGCAGCCCGTCCTCACGCTGGCCCCCTGCATAGGAACAGAGGGGGTCCCAGCCATCAACCAGGTGGGTCAAACAAGAACCACAATGACTTCAGAGATTATGTTAAGAGGCTAGAATAAAAACAACCATTACAAAATCTAGTTGAAAATGATCTAAAACACACCTAGAGACTGGGAGAAAGGTTTTCTCCTCACAGAATGATTTTTAATAAGAATGAAATTATACTCAATTTGAAGCAAGCCGTGGTGTAATGATTGTCTTTTCTCACATGCAATACACGCTTGGATTTGTCCTGACCGAGCTGCATGCAAGAACACAAACCAAATTAGTTAAAGCAGACTTTTAATGGACTCTATCCTGCAAGCTTCATTGTACAAAATCAACCAATCAGCTGATGTGTGAGGTCATTTTTTTCAAGCATTTGTAGCAAGCGAGTACCGCCTCCAAACTGATAGTTCGTGCACTGTATAGGTAACGTACTAATGAACGTCCTCTCAGCGTCAAACACCTCAGCAATCACATATTTCTGGTACGAGCGAAGTTGAATGAGCTAGGGGCTGTATATAGAATTTAACGGTAATATACTGTAAATATATGTTCATACTTTATACAGATATTCTATTTGTTTACATCACATTAAAAAAAAAGTTTCACAGTACAGTTTTACATGTTGTTTTGCTGCTGCTGGCTGGCTGGCAACGAGCCGCAATGCATTATGGGGGCGGTTGAGTATGACTCATGAGCTCCCGTATCACGCTATAAGATTATCGCCCATCTAGTAAACATCGCTGCATTTCTTGCATAGCAAAAAGTTTCAAATTATGAATAGTGGCTTTACAAAACATTTCACAGGGAGAGAAATATAGATTAAGTTACATAAAACAGGGCGCCGGATAGCCCCTAGGGTTTCTGCACGTGCCTCATGTATGGAGGCTATAGTCTTCATTGTTGGGCCGTGGGTTCAAATCCGACGTCGGCCCTTTGCTGCATGTCATCCCCCCCACTCTCTTAACCCAACACTTCCTGTCTCTCTTGAGCTGTCCTATCCCATAAAGGCCAAAAGGCCCCCAAATGACAAAAAGTAATGAGTCATGTACATAAACATTCAGAATTCAGTGAATTTACATCAAGAAATGTGCACTGCAGTCTATAGAGGACCCCTCTTTCAAAGGTAGATAGTGGTCTACATGCGCCCCCCCCAACCCCCCCCAGCAAATTAACGTGTTTTTAATTATTTTTACTTTAAATTACTGGAGACTGTTGTCCTCACATGCTCAGTAAAGTGATAGTTCTGTTGATGTGCGTGTGTGTGTGCGTGCGTGCGTGCGTGTGTGTGTGTGTGTCTGCAGTCTTTTCTTCTCTGAGCTGTAATTAATACCCGTAGGATTCTCATTATTCTGTGTTATGAGTGAGTGTGAAGGCTGTGATCGCTCTAACAAGCCGACTCGCAGAGAGCAAACATGTTAGCAGCTGAAACGCCTGCGGGGCTGGAGAGGCCGGCCTCTGACTGAAGGGTTGCCGGTTCAAATCCCTGAAGTCACAGGCAAAAAGCTTTGAGCTGTGTGTGTGTGTGTGAGGCCCTGGAGGCCGCCTCTAATCCCTGTTTGTTCATGTTCGGAGTTCTGGTTTGAACCCAGCCGCTCCCAGGTGGGAATGTTTTTTTAACATAAAGAATTAAATTCATTTTCTCTTCTGTCAGTTTCTCCCTTGAAGAGTAAAAAAAAACAAAAAAAAAACAGTGTTTCCCCCGTGGTGTTTGCAAATTTCCATGACAAATCTAATTAAAAGAAGCAATCCACATTAAAGGAAATTATTTATTTTCTCTACATCCCCAGTGTCTTCTACTTTTGGCCATCACTCCCCGTGGGAACCAAAGAAACTGGTCTTGGGGGGGGGGGGGGTGGACCCAGTCACTTAAAGCCTTGTGGTCCTAGAAACTGACTCTCCATTTGTGACTCTTTAAGTCATTATCTAAAAAGATCCAACAACATGAATCCAGCATAATCACAACGTTTAGCAAAGATACAGCGGCACAAAAAAGTATTTTTAAGGGGCAGAAACCTCGAGCAGAACCAGACTCATCTACAGAAACTGTGCTGGGCCTGGAAAATGGGATTTTGGGAGATGGCAACCTTGGGTTTCTAAAAATGAAGCAAAAACCAGAGAAACCTCCCAAGTTCTATTATTTAAAAAATAGAAATAAAACGGTTTACAGCCGGAATATCTCATTTCTTTATTGGTAAAATAAATAAGGCAACGCCTGCGAGTTAGTTCAAGGCAGACAACTTGAGCTGCACAGATTTTACACTGACAGGCGCCGTTCTTATGATCTCCAATCACACACATCCTCTCGATTGAGCGGACTATTTAAGGTACAAGATGTCCGGTCTCTCCGTCTACTTGTCGTCTTGTACCATTGCTGCATTGGCTCATTGCAGCCATTTGCAAAAAAAGACTTAAGACCCGCCTCAGCTGCACCTCCTTTCTGTTTCTAGACTGATTTGAAATGTAGGTGATTCAAAGCTTGATCCAAAGGCCGCTTGACTGGTTGAAAATCTTTCTTTTCACTTTCTAATGGACGGAGCGTGAAATTTAAGCCTCAAGTTTAGAACTGAAGAAGTCTTCAAGATCTTCAACCAGTCCAGTCGCCTTTGGATCAAGATTTTGAATTTACCATGACCTGGATGACTGAGAACCTACACAGACATCGAGGTGAAGTCAGCATTTCCAATATGGCAACCGCCATCGATTGGCTTCCTACTGCCACTTCAGAAACCAACGAGAGATGTCACTGAGGTTACGTCCATGTTTCATACAGTCTTTGGATGGCACCAACGATCATTTCTTTTAAGTTAAGTTCATATTTACCAAGGTGCATCGTTTTAAAACACGAGAATCTTACAAATATGTTCTCCTGTTAGAGGAAGGCAGGACACAAAATACGACACTCAATCTCAGAGGGATTGAACACCATGGACTTCTTAAAAAACGTCTGGGGCAGCCACGGATGTGACGTTTTTGGGTTTTGCGGGCGTCGGCATTTTGTTTTGTGTCACCACTTTTATCAACACAGCGTGGAGCGAGAGGAAAAGTCATCTAGAGGTATTTAGGCAGATGTAGGACAAGAAGTACAGAAATAGTTCATTAAAACCAAAAATATAAAAACGTTAAAAGATGCATAAATCACTTTAAATCTTCTCAAAGGATGTTTTGATGTTATTGAGATATTTCTTGAAGCTACATCAGACTCTGAGAGGAGAACATTTCTAATTGATCTGGAACTACAGAATGTGCTTTCAGTGTCTCGGTGACAAAGAGAGGATTTCTTTAAAGCCTGCATTCACAGAGAGAGAGAGAGAGAGAGAAGAGAGAGAGATCAATAGCAGAAGCAGAGAGACCAATTTGAAAACCCACAGCAGCAGAAAAAAAAAAAAGACCAGAGCGCTCGTAACGTCAGTCATCTCGGATTCAGATGTATTCCACTGTTTCCATTACAGCGAAGTTTCACATAATTGAACGGTGACGGCTTGCAGAGCAGACATATAAGACGAAGGAGCGGGAGAGTGACGGGCGTGAAATGCAACCCACTGAGCCACAAAAACATCTTTCTGAGCACAATTTGGCCCAAATGTAATGAGCGCACAAGCATGAAGTTGTGTTTGTGTTGCTCCCACTATCGCCTGTGAGCGTGAACACGAGGCGGGATCTGTCGACTTTCTCCGAGAAATAAATGCTGACATCCGCATCTTTGCAGACACAGTCGCAGGTGTCGTGGGGGTTTTTTTGGAGCCAAAGGACACTTTGTTTTTAACCTCTATCTGTCCAGGGAACCGTTCTGCTGAGCTCGCAGGCTGCCTCAGCGCCGAGCTGCTTCAATGTTTAACCACTGAGCATGTTCACCTGCGATCCTTTAACCAGTGCTGAGGAGGAGAGCTTTGGAAAACCTGCAAATTACATCACACTGGAAGAAGAACCGGAAACACTGCAGAGCTACAGAGAGAACAAAAACAAATATTGATAAATGAATATTGAAAGTGAGAAAAAGATGCCAGGTTTAATTTGTTAAAACATGTCATTGAGTCAGACATCTGCCTTTCACAAATTAAAGTCCCTATGCTGAGTTTGCTCATGCAAAAAAGTTTAGCCTCCAAACTGCAGTGCAAGCATTTATTTAAGAATATCAATATAACATTCTCATGACTGTTGCATTGCCTGTGCATGCAGTCACAGCATTTAGGATGAAAGAAAAGGGAGGGGCTGCTTAAAGAAGGTTCAGTTATAGTATGAAATGATTGTTATGATAAGAAGAAGAAGAAGAAGAAGGAGAAGTCATTGCTTTCTTTGTAGACAGTTGTTGTGATCATGCTAAGAAATCTGCTTCCAACACAGCACAGTTTTTACAAATATCAAAATGAGATGATGAGCTTTACGACTTCCTCATCCAACACATCTGCACGTCCAGGTGTTCTCATCAAAGAGGATCCAAGTATCGGATGACTAATTTTTTTAATAGAACCAAACAAGAAACAGTCCTACATACAGATTAACAGACATCAGTCACATTCCTCCCTCTCTTCATTCAGTCTGTGGTTTGATGAAGAGTTCTATCAGAGTTGTGTTTTCTGCTCTCAGATGAGATGAGGAAAGATAAGATTAGAAGAAGATAAGACCGTTTAAAGCCGCTGGGAAATTAAAGCAGCACACGAGGAGAGACGGATAAAAGAGAGAGAAAAACATTCACAGGATTGAGACGAGAAGAAGGCGGGGCTTAGAAATAGTAATTATGACTTTATTTATATTTACCTTTTCATGCAAAGATGCTACCCAAAGCGCATGACACACAGGTGGCATGTCCAGCGGGGAGGTCAGGGTTAGCATGACCCCCCTTTAAATCTGATTGGCCCACCAAACTCCTAAACCATGATTGGCTATTTGTCCTGTCAGAGGCGGGACTTATGTTCTAATGAAGTATCCGGACTGTGTCGTATCAGGCTAGTAGCTAGCAGTTCTCTTTGCATGTTAATGAAGCATTTCTTGTTTTGTTCGTACTCTAAATTAAAAATCAAATATTTGCACATCTGTTTCATGAGACATCGTCGTCGGAAAGGAAGGAGTGTATAAATAAAGAGCTTGCAAACTCTTGCACAACGTCGACCCAGCAATGTACAAACAATGTTTCAGTCACTTTGCCAATAAATGTGTTTTTGAAAGTGAGACAGTGTGCAGGAGTTTTTAAAAGTACTTTAAATTGTGCATCTTCTTTTTGAGTCCTTAAAGAGTTCAGCTAAGAAGATTGACATGTTGCCATTCTGTTGTGTAATTTTAAAGTAGATATGATTAAAGAGATGGAAAGGGTTAATAAATTAAATTATTTCTGGTGTGTGCCAGACGCAAACTTGATGCCACCCCTGCAACAACTGGGCCACCCCAGTCCAAAAGTCTTGACACCGCCCCTGCTGACATGACAAGATCAGATAGAGAAAAACACACTTACCATAAAACCATATTAAAATATCTAAAACTAAATAAAATGAAACAAAAAATAGAAATAAATACGAGTGGAAATACAAACTAACAAGCGAAACAACCAAAGAAGTTTGATAAAATCATATTAGATATCATCATAGATCAAGGTTCACTCATTTTAAAGGAAGAATGTGCAACATGTTAAACATAAATATATCATAAATCAAGTCTCTCTGTGTAAATGTGTCTCTGAGTCATGACTGTCTACAATGAGGGAGAAGCTCGAGTCCCGCTGGCTGTGTTGTTGTCAGAGCCGTGTTTACATGGACGGGACGGCCGGCTCCTCCCCTTGTGTATAAAAGCTGTTTTAGTCAAGAACTAGAGAAGATTAAAATGTCAAAATTGGCTCGCAGTTGAAGAGCAGAAGTTGTGATCACAGATAACAAATCAGAAACACATCAGGCTCTGTCCGATGGTCTCATGTTTTTAGAGCGAGTCAAAGACTTCAAGCGAGATGAGATCTGCTTCGATCAGCTTCAAATCACTCTGAGGAAAAGTTCCCTGCAGAGGGGGCCGCATTATTACACGCTCTTTTCCCAAGCTCAGTGCAGACATGAGGGACAGACAGTTTAAAAAAAGTTTGTATTTTATGAAGCCTTAAAAATAATTCTTGTGGGATTGGTTTAAATGTAATACTTTAACATGATCAAAATACTTCCAACAAAGATGTTAATGAATAAAATGGAAGAATTAAAACATGATAAGACTTTCCTTTTAGGAAATAATTTTAACACAAGCTGATGATGTTTTTAAAAATGTGTTAAAGTGACAGTCCCCCCCCCCCCCCATTCATGTAACCGTTCTGAACGCTGCGAGGCTCCAGCTGAGAAGATTTATTGAGCTACAGCACCAATTAACCTCCGGTGTCATTCTCGTCTCTGGCAGGTCAATAAATCAATCACACGGTGAAATAAAGCCCGCAGCGTCGAGTTATTCAAGATAAAAGTCCACACATCACAGCGCTGCTTAAAAAAAGACCCCCCGCTGTCCCCTCATCAGCTCCCTCTCACCCTCCATTACTGCATACAGGCTAACGAGCAGCACCGGAGAGGGACCTTATTTTAATGACATCATAAATGCGTGGATGTGGGTCACTAAATATTGAATAAAAACCAGGGATGGAAATACACTGCTGATCATTTCCTCCGTACTAACTACAATGACCAGTCCATCAACAGACAAACATTTTCTTAAAGGATTCAGATTTACTGAAAGGAATAATACAAAAATAGTCAAGTATAAGGAACACTCATAAACATCTTATTTAAAGATCTAAGTTTCTTAAAATGAGATGTACTTCAAGAAACTTAAAGGTGACATATCCTCCTCCTCTTCAACAAAGTTTAAATAATTCTCAGAGCTCCTCAAAACATGTGTGTGAAGTTTCTTGTTCTAAATCCACTCTGATCCTGTATTTGATCATGTCTATAAACCCCTCTATTTCAGCCCTGCTCAGAACAGGCTGTTTCTGTGTCTGTACCTTTAAATATGTAAATGAGCTGTGTCTGACCACGCCCCCTCTCTGGAAGGGCTTTCTCACTCCATGTCCTATTGTTTACGTTGAGGAGGCAGACTCAGAGGGCAGAACAAACACCTAGCTGTGGGAGTGTCACCCACCTGGGGGAGGGGCTACTGCCCTTTGTGATGTCATGAAGGGAAAATCTCCAAACGGCCTGTTTGAGCACACATTTTCTGAAAAGTGGAGCAGGGGAAAGACGGAGATGATGGACTTTTCTCATCATTAGGGGGGTTTATAGACGGACTAGAGACACATGTTAGTGTCAGAGGAACATGGAGAAGTGGATTTTGCACAATATGTGACCTTTAGGTAAATTGCTTGCCCCACAAGAAACTTTTATTTAGCTTTTTAAAAGGTTCTCAGGCCCTTTTTTTTTTTAGTCTTTCTAATCATCGAATGATCTTATTGGTATTATGAAAACATCAGCACCAGATACCCTCAGTACATGAACATGTGTGAGTTCTCGGTGTGTTTGGACGTGCTTCACTTTGTAGTGACCTTTAAACTATCTGTCCCCCGAGGGTGTTGAAAGACCTTATAACACAGGGACACACACACACGTGTACACACACACACACACGTGTACACACACACGTGTACACACACACATTAGACAGGTAACATTTAACACAGATCCTGTTAGCTCCTTTAATAACCCTGTCCTAGTTACACATTCTGTGTGTGTGTGTGTGTGTGTGTGTGTGTGTGTGTGTGTGTGTGTGTGTGTGTGTGTGTGTGTGTGTGTGTGTGTGTGTGTGTGTGTGTGTGTGTGTGTGTGTGTGTGTGTGTGTGTGTGTGTGTGTGTGTGTGTGTGTGTGTGTGTGTGTCTCCTCTGAGGTCTTATTTTCTTTCCTCACACGTTTTTCTCCAACATGATCATTAATACACCGACGCTGTGTTCCTCTGAACCCTGACCTCCTTACTGTTCACTGCCTCACACAGTGTGTGTGTATTAGTGTGTGGGAGTGTGTGTGTATTAGTGTGTGGGAGTGTGTGTGTTTGTGTATGTTTGTTTATCTGTGACATGCATGAATGTCAAACATGTTATGAATGCACATCAACACTACAGCTATCACAGCTCTTTATGTGTTTGCTCTTTGAGAGGATGTTTGTTTATTTAACACATTTGTGCACCTTTACTAAACATGTTAAGTGTTTTAAAAACATGGGAATAAATAAACTTTTATTGTAAAATACTAAATATTTTCTTGAATTTTGCTTTTTATTTTCACTAGCTTGGCAGTTTTGTTTTGTAAAAATGTATTTTTGGGGCTTTTTATTTGAGTGACAGGACAGCGGGTCGAGTCAGTTATTGGAGAGAGAGAGAGAGCGAGAGAGCGAGAGAGCGAGAGAGAGAGAGAGAGAGAGAGAGAGAGAGAGAGAGAGAGAGAGAGAGAGAGAGAGAGCAACCTACAGTCTTGAAAAATGAAGCCGATGCTGAAGTGCAAAATCCTGCAGTTCCTCAAGTGTCCACTAGAGGCTGGCTCCAGGAACACAGGAAGTCACACACACACCACAGACAAATAAAGCTGTTTATACAGGATGGGATGGCCTGATGACGTATCTGACCGTCCTGTCAATCCATTGTCTTTATCAACTTTTCCCTTTCCCCCCGAAAACCAATCCCAGCTGTCACTGTACGGGAGGCGGGGTTACACACTGGTTACAGCAGCCAATCACAGAGCTGACATATAGAGACAGACAACCAGCCACACTCACATTCACTCCTACGGACAGTTTAGATTCTCCAGTTAACCTAACGAGCATGTCTTTGGACTGTGGGAGGAACCAGGAGAGAACACACACATGCACGGGGAGAACATGCAGACTCCTCACAGAGAGGGACTCGAACCAGGAACCTCCTCGCTGTTGAGGCAACCGCGTTAACCACTGCCACTGTTCTGAGGTTGCACATGAATCATCGTAACTTAAGCGTTTTATTTTGAAAATCCAAACGGATGTTTGTTCCTAGTTTCAGGTGTTTTCTGGGAGTTAATGTTTTTTTTTTTTAATCAAAGATGTTAGATATTGTCGGAAACAGTTAATTACAAGCGATGAACTAAATGTCACCCTGCTGCGTCTTTCTCTTCCTCCTGAACGACTTTATCTCCATGACCGCTTATCAAAAACAGGACCAGAGATAACACAGCACTCCTAAATGTCAAATTCTGAACAGCCACCTGACAAACAACATTTTAAACCCTGAGATGATAAAAAAATAAATCATGATTTTTGCCTCTCTCTCTCTCTCTCTCTCTCTCTCTCTCTCCTCTCTCTCTCTCTCTCTCTCTCTCTCTCTCTCTCTCAGGAGTGGGTGTACACACGGGCAGCAGATCCGTCAGCAGCAGCACTGTCTGTCTCTGTCTACCACCTTCCCTGCCTCCCAGGTCCTGCTGCTGCCCTGCAACATGGCCGACGGCAAACAGGTCTGCACACACACACACACACACACACACACACACGCTTGCATGCACGCAGAGCTGACACACACACTCACACAGGCGTACACAAAGACACACACTCAGGTGGTGTGTAGCTGCAGGGGATGCACGGCTCTACATCATATGGCTGATAAATTAATCTAAATGTTAATTAATCTTAAGCTGAATTTGTCCAAAGATAATTATTACACTAACACACACACACACACATTCACGCTGCAGGGGGAGCAGATGCTCCACACTTTTTTTGGACAGGCAGCTTGAAATACTCTTAACACACACACACACACACACACACACATCAACACGCACACACTTGTCATTACCTGACCACTGGGCACCTTGACGGCGTCCCAGAAGCCCCTGCAGCAGAGAACAACCTGACAACCAATAAATCACCCGAGAGAGGGAGAGAGTGGGGGGGGGGGGGTGAGGCAGAGCAAAGGAGGGGGAGTACAGATAGAAAAGTAAAGAGAGAGAGGGAAAAGAGGAGGAAAGGAGGAGATGAAAGAGAGAGAATGTAAAAAAGGAAGGATACAAAGACGGGAGGAAGGAAGGAGAGGAAAGGGGAAGTAACGAATAAAAGGAGAGGAGAGGTAGAGAAAGGGGAGAAGGGAATTGTGAAAGGAAATAGAGGGAGGAAATGAGAGAGGAGAGGAGAGGAAGAAAGGATGGAGAAGGAAGAGTGAAAAAAGATAGGTAAGGGAGGAAGGAGAAGAAAGATAGAGTGAAGGGGAAGGAGAGTAAGGAAATGGAGGGAGGAGATGAGAGAAAAGAAGGTAAAGTGTGGAAGTAAAGGAGTTAGGAAGGGAAGGAAGAGAAAATAAAAGGAGGGGAGGAAGGAGGCATGGGAGGACTTTAAAAAAGAAAAGGAAAGAAAGAGACAAAAGTGGAAGAAAGGACGGGAGACAGAAAGAGAAGGGAGGAAGGAAAAGAGAAAAACCAGAGGGGATAGGAGAAAAGAGAGTGAAGGGAAGAAGGAAGGAGGAGTTATAGAAAGAAAAAGGAAAAGGGAGATTGATAGCAAGGGTAAGGAGGAAGGAGGAGGAAAGATATAGGAAAGGAAGGAAGGTAAGAAAGAGGAGAGACAGAAGGGGAATGAAGGAAGGACAGAGGAGATTAGAGGTTACAGAGGAGAGACGTGGAAGGAAAGGGAGTAAGGAGAAGAAGAGAGGAGAGAGAAAGGAGGGAGGAGGCGAGGAGAGAGTGATAAAGGGATGCAGGAGACGGGGAGGTAACTCATTACACCTCACCAACTGTTTAGTCCTAGTGGGAGAAAAGTGTGTGTGCATGAAGTCAAACAAATCTGCTGAGTTATAAGGACGACAAAACCAACGTGTTTCTACACTTCTGTGTGTTTTTCATTCTGTCTATGCCAGTAAATCGTGTTTTATTTGATCTATGAGTCATCGGTGACGAGTGAGAAAGACGACGACGCCGGGAATAAAAAAAGATGGAAATGAACACAGCGAAAGGAGGACAGACGATAAGACATAAAAGGAGATAAGGAAACGAGAAAATAGAGAAGGGAGCAGAGAAAAATGGAAAATTGGAAAAGAGACAAGGAGACAAAAAATAAGGAAGGAAGGAAGCATCATTAAAGTAGAGAAGAAGGACGCAGGAAACGAGGAAACAATGAGTAAAAATCAGAGAAAGTTAAGAGGATAGAGGACAGAAAGTGTTGATAAACAAACTGTTTCCTCATGCGTCACATGATGCGTCATTACGACCCTTAACACGGAGTGAATCCACAGCAGAGTGTCAGCAGGACCTCAAATCAAAGTAAGAAGCACAACAAACACACACACAGGGAGTGTATCGTGTGTCGTCTCTCACAGACTCTCTCTCTCTCTCTCTCTCTCTCTCTCTCTCTCTCTCTCTTTGACAAGTCTGGATATTTTTATACCGGAGAATAAGTTCCCCTGTGGCAGAAAAAAAACAACACAAAAGACGAGACAGCGAGGTAGAGAAGACGTGCCAATCAACGCAGGGAGATCAGGGTGGTGTGTGTGTGTGTGTGTGTGTGTGTGTGTGTGTGTGTGTGTGTGTGTGTGTGTGTGTGTGTGTGTGTGTGTTGTGTGTGTGTGTGTGTGTGTGTGTGTGTGTGTGTGTGTGTGTGTGTGTGTGTGTGTGTGTGTGTGTGTGTGTGTGTGTGTGTGTGTGTGTGTGTGTGTGGGGAGGCAATCAGCACAGTGTGTGTTCTGTCCCAGCAATGCATGTGTGTGTGACGCACAACGTACCACCAGGATGTGCGAGAGAAGTGGAAAAAATATGTGAAATAAATGTAAGAAAGACAGAAGAGAAGTAGAGGGGAAAGTTTGTAAGCATGAGGGGACGAAGAAAGGAAGAAGGAGGGGAGAAGATTCTGAATGCAACGGAGTGTCAGAAAAAAGGAAGGAAGTGGAGCGATGATAGCTAATTAGGACAAAGATCCACTGAAGGAACACGTCCTGTGTCTGACAGAGAGAGAGAGACGGGGGGGGGTTAAATTAAGGGTAGAGAGAGATGGGAGGGTGATTGGACGAGATACGCCGAGAAAGACAGAAAATGACATGACGTGAAGGAGGCAGAGGAAATAAACAACAGAGAGAGAGAAAAAAGTTAAAAGTTAAAATGTTCTACAGTCTACACTTCAAGCAATCTGAGCTGCTCCGTTACATAAAAGCAAATTATTATCTCACACTGACATCAGAAATTTGTCTGAGTTGGCTTTACAGTCTTTTCAGCAGGACTAGAGTACACCCTCCATCTGAGAGGAGAGGAGAGGAGGTTTTGGTTTTCAAAATACCTTTTATTTTACCACTACCTGGAGAAAATTATAACACTGTCACATCATCACTCAGATCAAGAGAAGGAAATAAATAAAAAATAAAACATAAAACAAAACAAGTGCAACAAAAATCACAACATCAACAAAAACAACATTTACTGCATCAAAAATGAATAATCAGCTCTCCATCCCCACCCACAGAGCACAAAGCTTCTTCCACAGCCCATACACTATTAAAGTCTTGCACATTGTCCATCATTTGATAATAGGCAAATTCTACCTTCAGTCTGGCCTTCAAAAGTCCCTCCAGAACCAGCACCGGTTCCACACAGCCAGTACCCTGAGCTCGGTTCTTGCGTGTAAGCCAAATGGCCAACTTAGCCGAGCCAGATAAAAAGTTCATCAGTGTATGTACAGTCTTTTTCTTTGCAGAATACTTTGGCCCAAAAACAAACAATGCATAAGAGAAATCCTCCCCGAGAGCTTCAAACAAGCTTTTCATAAGGACAAACAAGAGTGAGAGCCTGGGACACTCAACAAACAGATGAGACAAAGTTTCAGTTAGTGAACAAAACAAACACTCCTCTCCCACCCTGGATCAATGTGCGCTCTGTATCTGTTCGTGGCTATAACCCCATGCACAACCTCCACTGGAGATCTGCTGTTCTCTTCTCAACAGGCAGCTTGTACAGGGACCGCCAGCTGCCTTTCGGGGAAACCTCCGGCCAAAAAACTCGATCCACCTCGACTCTTTCACTCCCGACAGACCACGAAGATGTAGGACCTTAACACAGGACTGATAGAGTGCCTTTTTCCCTGCATCCTGGAACTTTCCCAGAACAGGAGTACTAAAGGACAGCAGTCCACCTCCTCTTTCCTGCCACTCCCCGACATCTGGGGTAACAGACAAAGATGGGAAGCTGTATTCGCCCTCTTCACTCCACTGCTCACACAGATTCTCAATGTTTAGAAATGTCACAAGTTTTACTGGAAGTGCAGCAAAGACTTCCTCCACCACTCTTTCACCACCCGGCTGGAGGTGATATTGGTCCTTTCTTTGAGGGCGTCCAGGGTCAGTCTTACCAGGTGACCCAGTTTTGTGCAGCCTGCCTCTCTGAAACTGGCCCGGAGACTGGCTGACTGCAAAGTTGGAGTCCTTATGAAATCATTAAAAAATAACGGTTCCTCAAAGATCCACATTCCCAGACTCTCAGTTTTTTCCCTTTTGAATGTGTACATTTTCCATGCCTGCATTACAGACATATAAAAGGATGTTAATCCAGTGAGATCCACCTCCTCAAGCTTTAACAGAAAGAGCTGCTTAGTGTACCCCAGCCGTCCAGCTCTCCTCAGCAGCAGTCGAGCGATGTCCATCCAGCTGGACCACAAGTGAAAAGGAGTCTCTGTGCAGTCTGGAGTCTGAATGAGGCAATTTTTGACTGAATGTCTATAAGTCCATGTCCCCCTTCAGCCACCGGCAGGTAGAGGACTGCCGCCTGACCCAGTGTTTGCCTGACCAGAAGAAGTCCAGGATGGCCCTTTGAATGTCCTCCACCAGCCCTCTTGGAGGTGTCAAAGCCACAAGTCTGTGCCAGAGAGTCGAGGCAACCAAGTTATTGACCACCAGAACTCTTCCCCTATACGACAACTGGGTAGCAACCATTTCCATTTAGACAACCGAGCGCACACTTTCTCCCTAACTCCCTCCCAGTTTTTACTTTTAAAGCCCTCGGTACCCAAATAAACCCCCAACACCTTCAACCCCTCCCTCCCCCACTCAAGTCCACCCGGCAGACTGGGCACTGCCTGGTCCCTCCACTCTCCCACCAGTAAGGCACCACTTTTTTCCCAGTTCACCCGTGCAGCTGTTGCCCTTTCATACAGGGACAGGGTGTCCCGCAGACACCGAACGTCCCCCTGATTGGAGATGAAGATGTTTACATCATCAGCATAGGCAGAAATTGTAGGGGACATTCAATGCTACAGGCCGCGGGCAAAGAAAGCCCGCTGAGCCGGTCCCTCAACCTGCACAGCAAGGGCTCAATAGCCAAGCTGTACAGCTGGCCGGAGATGGGACAACCTTGTCTGATCCCTCGCCGTACAGGGATTGGCCGACTCAACCCCGCCCCCATCTTCACCAAACACTGTGCATCCTGATACAACAAACCAACTAATGACACAAAACCATCCCCAAAACCAAAAGACCTCAGTGCAG